TTTTTTTTTTTTACCCCTTCCACACAAGTAAACTTGATGCAGGCAATTAATTTGAGCTACAATTCAATCCCTCCCACCCACACACACACTGCCATTTATAACTTTCTATACAATCGACTTGCTTAAAGCTTTGTTTTAACCTAGGAAAAGTCGGATAGAAGGGAGCAGAAGCCTAAGGTGGCTAAGTTTGTTAACTGCAGGTGCAAAATATAAGTCAGTTTTCTTCAAAAGGCTAATTGACATGTTTAAAAACCCTTGTTTTCAACAAAACTTCATGTAACACCAACCCGGAAACACAGGACATTTCCAATCCGGAACGGGGGGAGGAGGCGGTTCTGCTCCCCGAAGAAAACAGGGAATCCGGAGGTTCCCCTCTCACCCTCCCAATTGCTTTCAATAAGGTGCAATGATGGCCAACTTGGGCCCCTTGTCCTTTTGTCCCCCTAGACAATCTCTGGCCTAATTTGGGACAAATCCTCCACTGATGACGCCTCCCTCCCCCTCCTGTGTATCTCGGCTCTCCCTTAATTAGAAACTGTACCTCAGAATCGTGCCTCGCACCCCCCGCTGCGTAAGAGGAGATCGCCTGACCCTCTCCACCTGGAGAACAATGTAACCCAACTCCGGCCCATAGATTTATCTCGGGAAATCAGGAGGAGTGAAGTGTCCGGTCATCCCGGATTCCCTCAAAGCATCCCGCCCCGGGCCTAGAAGCCCAACTCCTTCCCACCTGGGGACCCCCTCTCACCTTCCCTGGCCCCGAGCCTCGCCCCGCACCGTCGGGTCTCTCCGCGGGACCCCGCGCCCCGTACCTTTGTAGTGCACCCGCAGGTTGTTCTGCGAGAGGCCGATGTAGCTGAACTTGTCCTTCGGGCTCCAGGACCGGGGCAGCGGCGTCTCCTGCTCGTCCACGGCCGGGTAGAGGCGCTTCAGTCGCCGCTGCAGCTCCTTCTCCTGCTCGTTGAGGGCCGAGTCGCCGTGCGGGAAAGGGGCCGCGGCGCTGCTCGCCGCCGCCAGGCCCGGGGCCGGGACGCCTGCGGCCGAGCCGGGAACCGCGGCCAGGCCGGG